ACAGGTCCTTTGAAGTCAGTTAGCCCAAGAGCTTTTTGCTACAGCTGGCCAAGTTAATCTTTCTGAATGCTGAGAGCCTCGAAGGCACGCGTTCCACCTCCCTGGATGGACCACGGTGCTATTCCTCCCTAAGGTACTACCACCTTCCAGGGCACTGACAGACCTTTACCCTCTTTCACGTCTGAGAGAATACCTTCTCTCCTATTGCTCTTGGCTCTCTCTCTCAGAGGCACCGGTTTCAATCACCAGTTTCTAGTATACCCTACCCAGATCAGAAAAAGAGGCAAATCCTGCTTTTGACTACATAACAGAAAACTCCCCTGGAACACAGAAATAACAAGGGGCCTAATTACTTTTTGGAATAAAAGAGAAGAAAAAATAGAATCAAAACACTAATGATTATCAACTAACCGCTAGTATCTGGTTAGTAATAGGGACGAATGCTGTAGCTATGGGGCTTTGTATTTCATTGAGTATATAGGCATATTTTTCTATTTCTATAATAAAAGACTACTGCATCTTAATCCTGAATTATGAAATTATCCTCTATGCAAAAAATATATAAACAGGACAGCTATCAGGCATGACAGTGATATTACTTCTAAGATAACAAAGAACTTCATTTTTTATTAAAGAATTCAGATCTGTAAAGTACTTCATGAAACACTGATTTATCCTCATTGGTAGCATTTTTTTCTTACAAAAAAGGAATGCCTAATTTCAAGTGCTAATGTTGTGTAAAGAAATAGTACCTAATTTTAAAATAAAGAAATTCAATTGAGTACTTTCTAATGTGAGCTATTTGAGGGATGGCAGAACCTCACTAGAATCCAATACAATGACAACATCTATAATATAAAATTATCAACTTTACTTATAATTTGGAAAAAAATTAGACATAATTTTGAGCATATAGTTAAAGTTGGGAAACTTGAATAGTAAGTACTTAGAAATTGTTTATTGAACTTCATAAATTCATTGGCATGACTTCAAAAATCAATCACTAGGACCAGCAGTTAACATAATGGCTATGTCACTGGACTCTCATGTAGTTGACCATGGTTCGAGTCTCAGACCTGGTGGCTTAAACTTACGTCAGGCGTGTGTGCGTGCATGTCCAAGATCCCTAGAGGAGAATAGGAAGAGATTGTGGTGTGGCCATCCTCCCTGGGGTGGGGGGTGATTTCTCGCTTTCTGTCTCTCTGTCTCTCTCTGTCTTTCTGGCGAGCGCACGTGCCCTATAACAAAAACCTCACACACACACAAAAAAAATCGATCATTGATCATAACTTTAAATTATTTATTCTATAATATGCCTTTAGAAAAATGAGATATAAATTATGGATTTCATAATCAAAGAAATGCAAGATGATCATCCACTAGAATGCATCTCCACTAAATGTTTGAGGACCAACATTAGGCCTATTATGAAGTACTCTGAATGTTTCTATCAATTGCTGCTATTTATACATTCAAAGTTTCAGTGTAGCTCACTGACTCAACCATGTATTGCACTGATGTATCATTCTATTTACTACCATGCCAAAGTTATCGCTCTTTTCCCCTGCTGGGCAGAGCGTTTTCACTTAAAGCAATTCAGTAGAAAGTTAATCCCAAGGATATCTTGTCTTCTTTAAATTGGATTTCTGCAACAGCAACCAGTAATCTAGACAGTGAGAACACTCCTGTTTCTTTGATTCAAACGAGAAGGTAGTCACTTCACACCCACGTGCACCACACAGGCTATAGATTCCGTCTCCATGGCTTCCTAACAATATTTGCCCTCCTCACCTGTCACTTTTAACTGGTTCACATGATCTTCATGTAATCAACTCTGGGTGGTTTAGATAGCTTATTCAAATTACTGAATATGTGCAAATAGTTTAAAGTCTTAACTTGTTGCTTACTCTGTATACGTTTTCTATAAACAAAAATAAATTTTGCTTAAATGGTATAATTTTAAGATCAAAACAAATTGTGTTACTCACTCCCCATGCCACTGGAAGGTATGAACCAGCTGACCAAAAAGTGAAAAGAAAAGAAAAATCCTAGCTCTGTTTAATGTGGTCCTTAATACCAGATTGGCAGATAAAACCAAGGATGCAATGGGCGCTAGAGGAGAAATTAGGCAGAATGAGTGGATTAGAAAATTTGAGAGTTAGGTCTTTACAGTGGTCTAAAATTACTTGGTCTAAAACACTGAAAATTATCACGACAGGAGAGCAATCTCTTGACAGAGTGCTCACTGCAATGTTGGGGAGCAAAGGGGGAAGGGGAAGGACACCAAGTCATTTGAAATAAAAATGGCCCCATAAGACAAATCAGAAAAGCTTACAGAGTACTAGGTAAGCTTTTTTTTTTTTTTTAAAAGAGGTTTTGCCTTAGGGTATGTGCCCTTGCCAGAGAGAGAGAGAGAGAGAAAGAGAGATAGACAGAGAAAGGGAAAGTGAAAGTGAGAAATCACCCCACCAGAGGTATGGCCATACCACAATCCCTTCTCTTCCATTCTCCTCCCGGGATCTTGGAGCATATGTACATGCTCCCAATGTGGTTTTCTTTCTCTTAAAAAAAAAAATAATTTTATTATTATTCCTATAGTAAATTGCTATACATCATTTAGATTGTGAAGAGACTTTACCCAGCATGACATACACTTCAGTCCAGCCCAGTTGAGAACACCATACACATCCTGTGATTTTCAAGGCACCAGATCCAGTACTCAAACTGTGGTCAGCCATGTGGGAGTCTAGTGACACAACTGCTATGCCATCTGCTGGCACCTAAATAAGCTTTTCACTTACCTAGTCTTTAACATATATTTACTGAGAGTTTTGGATATCTAAGTCTTTTCTTATCAAAATGGAGTAGAAAACTGCTACATGCTATGAATTTTTTTGATTAAAGGAACTCCAGCCTTATATTTTAAGTTAGTCCATTATCTGAAAGAACATCCTGGGAACCAGCAGTTAGCATAATGGCTATGTCGCTGGACTCCCACGTAGTCGACCATGGTTCGTGTCTCAAACCTGGTGGCTTAAAACTCATGCCGGGCACATGTGCGTGCATGCCCAAGATCCCAAGAGGAGAAGGGAGAAGGGATTGCAGCATGACCATCCCTCCTGGGGGGTGATTTCTCGCTTTCTGTCTCTATGTCTCTGTCTGTCTGTCTGGCGAGCGCACACGCCCTATGGAGAAAACCTCTCAAAAAAAAGAAAAGAACATCCTTAGGAAAAAAAGCTTTATACCATTAATACATTAGTCATTTAGTGTGACAGATATGAAATCAGATTTTGAGGAAAAAAGGAAGAATCAAAGAGCTCCAGCTGTCACAGCAAAGAAAACTCAGGTGCCACCCATGGCAGACATAAAGGACAAGGGAGTCTAACGTCACAGTTCTGCTTCATACTTGTCTGATTTCTTTAGTGTTACAAACTCATAAACACATTCACGCAGTCCACAAAATAATCCCAATAAAAATTATACAAATGTAAATATCTTCTTTAGCTAAGTTCAGTAAATGCAGAAAAAAAAAAGTATTTATTGGGGAGATGATTTGTTACAGAGTGTTTTTTTTTTTTCCCTTTTGCATAGGATGTGTACAATCTCCAGAGAGAGAGAGAGAGACAGTGAGAGGGAAAGTGAGAAATCACCACCCCTCCCCAGCAGGGCTGGCCATGCCACAATCCCTTCTTCATTTTGCTCCTGGGATTTGGGGCATGCATGCACATGTGCCTGTTATGATTTTCCAGCCACCAGATTGGGGACTTTTATTGCAGTCAGCCCTGTGGAAGTCCAGTGCCTTAACCACCACTCCACCTGCTGGCCCCTGGAGTGGTTCTTGAGATTCACTTAGGAGGCTACAACCAACCTAGTTAAAAATATAGATGATCAGAACACTCCCCAGTAAATAGTTTCAGAAATATGTATTTTTAAGGCATAACATAGCATAATGTGATAATCAGCAAGTTTGGGAGCCAATGGCAGAATAATACAAAACAACAATAACAAAACATATAATTCCTGGCATCAGGAAAGTAACATTTGTGTTAATAATAACTATTACTGGTATGTTACGGGGAATGAACTAAGTCCTGGTTTAAATGACAGCATGATGCACTCCAAGCTCCACAGCAAACAATCAATGCGCTACCTGTGAAGAAGAGACCTTTCCCTTCTTTGTCCAACATTGAAAAGCCCTGGAGAAAGGTTAAGTTAATTAATCAGTTGGCTGAATTAACACAGGAGATCAATAAGAAGGCCTTTGTGGTATTTCAGTTTATAGATAATACATTATTATGAATTTGGTACACTTATGAAGAATAGCAGATGGCCCAATGTAAATTTCAGCAGGTTAAAATATAAAAACCTGGAGTTTATAAATGTAAAATTTGGGCTCGATTGAGTCCCAGTTCTCCTGCTATGTGATCTTAGGCAAGTCCTTAACCTGAGCCTCAACCTTCCTTTCTTTTCTTTTTTCTTACATTGCCCAAGGGCACATAAGCTTACCAGAGAGTAGCAGAGAGAGATGGGGAGAGAGCATCCCCAAATGGAACATGGCTCACTGCAATCCCTTCTCCTGTACTCCTCTATCCTGTCAGGATTTCAAGCAAGTAACACATTCACGCAGCTTGGTTTTCATGCCACTGGGGTTGGGATTTGAACGTCAGTTGGCCATGTGTAATCTGGCTCCCTTCATCACTAGATTATGGGGCCAGTCTGAGCCTCATCTTTCTTAAAATGAATGAAGATCACAAGAGATTACCATCTGGTCTCTGTAGTCTAAGAACGTTTAGTTAGGAACTATTCATAAGAGGGAAGAACTGACTGAGTGCACATTTTATTTAGAGTCTGTTTAACTTATTAATTTATCTAATGCTTGTGTAGCATTGCCAGGCACTATCCCAAGAACCTCACAAATAACTCATTTTAATTTTCTAATAAGCTTATGAGGTCAATACTATTATCCTTATTTTACAGACAAGGAAGCTGGGGCACTACGTTGAGACTTCACCTGAGCTTACATAGCTGGTAAGACAGAGCTGGATTCACACACAGGCAAGCTGGATCCAGAGTTTGTGAGTTCAACCACTACAAAACCATATCATTTCACTACAATGAAATTCCATTGCACAAATCTCAAAAATGGAGTTATGAAGAGCTCTTAACCTATATCATAAAAAATAAATAGTGCTGACGATAATAGGAAACTATCGTGTAGTATTTTCTGTAGCAGGTCACTTTTATATAGCTTAGGAAATTTTTTTTCTAAGACTATTAAGCAGAACCCAACAACCTAAATCACCACTAAACTGTACATTTAAAAATTAATAAAATGATAAATTTTATGTGATGTATATTTTAACACAACTTTAAAAAACAATGAGAGAACAAATCTAGTTTATTAATTGTGTATGGTTTAAAGCGTTTTAGCTATTCTTATTTCAAGTTGTAGAATTTTTATTTTGCAAAATTGAATATATCATTAAGTCTGTAGCGAGAAAACAGTTGTAAATACTATTCTGTAATGTGATAGTGAAGTGTTAGTACATTGACGAATAAAGCACAGGAGGCAAATGAGCAGAGTCAATAGATAATTTTAAAGGCTGGTGCTTATCTAAAGCTCTGCTGTCTCCTACTGCTCTAACCAGGCAGACTGCTTCAGCTAGGGATGCTAAATAGAATCGGGAGAACAGTGCAGATTTAAATCGGCCATGAAAAGAAGCATGTGCTCATTTGCACTGAGCCTTGAAAAGAAAAAAATCAGGATTGGCCTAAAGGATTTGAAGCAACAGTATTAATGCATATCAAGACCTAAACCTTAATGAAAGTTAACATACTTGGCTGCTATTTTCTAGTCCACATTTGCTTTTCTTTTTCCTTATGGAATATGTGTTTATGGGAAAACACTGCTTGTTTTTACTACAGACAGATGCTCAGATTCTATGTTTAATGACAGGATCAGAAGAACAGGTGGGAGATCTAGGTGAAGAGGATATTAAATATGTGATACACAATCAGCACATATTCTGGGAGCTAAACAACATGGTAAGGAAGTCCAATTCTGAAATTTATTTTCAAAATTAATTTCTTCAGCATTATTTGTGGCTTAGGGATAATAATGGGTTTTGCCTATCTCATGGACTGATCCTGATCCTTTGCTAGAAAATACTAAGAAAAAAAAAAGATGGGGGAGAATTAACAAAATTAAAATAAACAAAAATTTAATTGAAAACAATTTTAGACCTTCCATTATGTAAGTGTTAGGCTTCACCATTCCCTCACAGAAGTATGTACCAAAAAGTTATTCTACTATTTATTAAGTCCAACAAAAAGCCCTATTATTTGTAGCCTTACTCATAAGAGGTATGACTCAAAGGGAATTTGGTGAGTCTTGTACATTAGCTTAAAAAGAATGTCAAGCCAGTTTGGGTGATGCAGCAATAACACAACACACTATGATGTGAAGTCACATGGAAAGCTCCTGGGTTCACAACCTGAGGTGTCATACATGTGCATGCCTGTGATCCTAGCTCACTGAGGCTGGGGTGCATCTCAGGGTGAAGACCCTGCTGGGAGTGCTTGTTTCTCTCTCTCTCTCTCTCTCAGAAGAAGAAGAAGAAGAAGGAAGGAAGGAAGGAAGGAAGGAAAGGGAAGGAAGGAAAAATACATGTAATGATCTGACTAACGGTCTCTTTAACAGAAAACTGAGAAAGCTATATATTGGAATTCCTCAGAAAAGAGTATCACTGTTCTGCTGAAGAGTAATATGAGAAACCTAGTTGATAGTTGATACATTTTTTCATGCTTTTGATGATGGGAAAGGTAGCCACCTGTTCCATCCTTTAGAAACTGAGTGAAGTTGTTCATATTATTTGGATTTGGACTTTTAACTTTAGTTCAAATTCACAGCTATCTAAATTCATAAGAGATGAAGTCAGAAGATGACAGAGGTGAATTCAAGAATTTATTTGGAGCAGCCAAGTCAGCATATATAAATATACGTGAATCAGAAAAGCAGAATAAAGAATTATTCAGTAGTAAAGAACATGAAAGATAATATTTCCTGTTCACCTTCCAAATTCCATCAAACAATCCAAAGTAGTCTTGAGGCATTGCTGATATTGAGGTCTATTCATTCACCAAGAGTCAGATTAGGAAGGCTCTGACTCATCTCTTACTTCCAATAATTCTCAGCACTTCTGTTTACACTAACATAGAAAAGCATTCTAGCAATGGGCTCATTTCAGCTATGTACTGAAGAATCAAGGAATAACATGATCAACTTGGTATATTTCACTGAATTGGGGGAACATTGTGTTGGTTGATAAAAAAAACAACACTAAAATCATGTCATTTTCCACATCTGACTTAGTCAAAATAAAAAGCAGTCTTCACCTTATTGTTTCTGGTGTCATTTCTAAAATATTTCCTCCTATAGTATGAGGTTCTAGGGAAAGCAATAATTTAAGTGTATATTAAATCTGTTACTTCCAATAAATAACAATTAACATTTACGCAGAGTCTAGTATATGATAAGCATTATGCTAAATGCTTTACGTGTATTACATGTATTATCTAAGTTAACGCTTATAACAACTTTATGAAGCAGATACTATTATAATCTCTGTTTCACAGATAATGCATCTGGTATTTGTAAAGGTTAAGTGACTTGTCTAAGGACAACTTTTAGTAAGTTGAAGAGCCAACCTCAAATCCCAAAAAAACAACTCTAGAACCTGCCTCTTTAGTGACTTTGTTAACTGCTATGATAACTCTGTTTCTTAGTGTATGCTACCACAAAGGCTTTTTGGCAGATTGTTTACAATAGATTAAAGTTACAGATATTAGTTCTAATTCCTTAACCATTCTCCAGGTCAAAAATGAAAGGATACTTAGCAAACAAAGAAAGTCTTAATCCAATAATAATAAAATTACAGCAAATTTTATCACAAATACAGAATTAGCATGATGAAATTTTACTGAGAGTTTGGTAACTGAACAAGATTATTTGCTAGTAGGAACATGGTGCAAGAGTTTTTCTGGGTTTTAGTTTTTGTTTTTAAATGTGCTTTTCCACTGAGTTGGCTCAATAGATTTGCATATTATTTTACTCCATTAGTCTGAGAGCAAAATGCTGCCTGATGATCTAGTTATAAAGTCATTCTCTAATCCTCATTACATACCACATTCTTAGAATCTGGATCCTAATGAATTGTAGAGGCAAAGCACTTGTTCAAATATATGTTAATCCAGATGCACTGGTCAAATGGCTATTGCATATGCAATTTGAAAATGTTAAGAATTCTCTTGTACTTCTTGGTTTCTATTTGTCCAAAGAACAACATCAATGAGCAAATAAAAAACAAGTCTGCCAGAAACTGCCATCATTCGGTATGTTTAACAGGATTAAAAGATGAAAATTTTCCTCTGGTAGGTAAAACATTCAACGATAAATTGGACCACTGTTTATGCATACATAAGTTGGCATATTATACAAAGAGAAAAGAATCTGAACTTTGAAATTAGATATTTTGATTCTGATCATTGCTCTATCACTTAGCAGCACAATGACCTTGGACTATATACATAACTCAAATCTTAGTTTCTTCTGTAATTCAAATAGTGACAATGTCCTACATGCATGCAGTTGTGCTAAGACTTAAAATATTATATGAAAAGAATCTATCCAGCCCTTGACCTGTATATGCACTCAACATATGATTGATATCAATATTAGTGGGCTCTTTCAGATACCGGAGACACCATAGTGCCTGCTGATATTAGAGCCCTTTGTTGAAGAAATTCCCTAAACCAAATTGATATTCAATATATCAATCATCAGTTGGTAATTTATATTCACATGGCTATCATTACACAGAAGAAAAACCCATGTATTTTACATTAATATAAGATGACAGGTTATGTTATCTCTATTTACAGTCTATAGAAATTAAAGTAATGTGATCTTAGTCATTTAGATCAATTTTGAAAAGTTGTGACATTTCAGGAATGGAGCTTCTAAAGACACAAGTTAGAAACAACTACGATACTCTCTGTGTAATCAGTCCTGGGACTTAACCTAACAAATACCTCTATCGCCTTCATATAGCATATCTTCCATATGTTAGCAGGGACCTTTGCTGAATGTAGTCACTCAGGATCTAGGCTAGAGGGAGCAACAACCCAGTGTTTTAAACAATACCAGTCACTGTGCCACACGAACAAAATGAACTCAGGATGATGGTGCACAGTCACTTAAGTGCTCAAAGAAATGACACGCGTCACTTTCACTCCCAACTCCCTGGCCCTATTCCACCACAAAAATTCCAAATGTGCAATTCTATTATGTAAAAGAAGGCAGCAACAGAAAACTCAACAATATTAGTGACTACTATGATTAGAAAGCAGAAATATTGGAGCTGTAGAGCTCAAGTTTAGCAATACAACAAATTCCATTTTCTTCTCCCTCGAAAATATAAGATAATTTCATAATTCCGTGGATAAATACCCAAATGTCATCTGACACAAGGAAGTAATTGTATATCTATACAGATAAATCCTACAGAGGTGGTAAGATGACTAATATAATATATAACCCAAACTATCCACTCAGATAATGGACAAATAAAGCTTAATCTACCATAGCACCTTCGCAGTAAGAGTGAACCACCTATTTTTTCTCGGTGATACAAGGAGCTTGGAAAGTATAGGCCAACTATTGGATGCAGTATACTTTAGTGGGAATATGTGATTCGTTCTCAAGGAAAAATATAATAACTCTATACAACCCACAAGACAGGTGATCACCTTAAACATTCTATCAATATTAAGTTCAAATATTAAATCAGCTCTATCAGCAACATCTACAAATTATGCAGAGTTGAATGACAAAAATGGCCTCAAAGTTATGTTCGATTAAACAGATTTCTATCGAGTTGGACATGTGAGACTACGGCAACAAGCATAGTTTCCAGGCAAAGTGAAGCACTAATAAAAGAAGTCCGTACTCTCAGAAACTGAGTGACTAAAGGATCTAGAAACATAGAAAATGGTTATAAACACCAGATACAGTGGGGGAAGAGGGTGGGTGAAGGAGGAGAGTTTGAGGAAGGACATTAAGAAGAAAAATAGGGAGGCAAGGCATTTACGGGCCAAAGAAATGGGTTGTTATCTGTTGAAGATAAGGTGTATAGTATTCTTAACTGGACTGGTGAGAAATGTATGCACATTGGAATATTCACCTTGCAAGCTGAGTGACATACGTGATTGAATGTATAAAAGAAATTGAAATTAAAAATATATATTTTTTTTTAAAAAAAAGGGTACAGGAGGAATCCAAAAGACAACAGTAAGCCATAACCTAAGCTAGCTCACTACAGTAGTATGGCTAAAACCAACAGAACTCTGATGCCAAAAGGTAAGAAAACATTATCGGTGGTTCTCTCTTCTTGGGCTGCATATTAAATTCTCCAACAAAACTTAAAAAAAAAAAAAAAAAAAGGGAACCAGCAGTTAGCGTAATGGCTATGTCGCTGGACTCCCACGTAGTCGACCGCGATTCGCGTCCCGGACCCGGTGGCTTAAAACTCACACCAGGCGCGTGTGCGTGAGTTTTAAGATCCCGAGAGGAGAATGGAGGAGAAGGGATTGCGGCATGACCATCCCCCCTGGGGGGTGATTTCTTGCTTTCTGTCTCTCTGTCTCTCTCTGTCTGTCTGGGGAGTCGCGCCCTATAGTGAAAACCTCTCAAACAAATAATTCTCCAACAAAACTTAAAAATGCAGGTGACATGGTGGCTAAGGTACTAGATTCCCACATGGCTAACTGCAGTTCAAACCCTGGACGTGAGGGCTTGAAAATCACAGTGGGTGTGTGTGTCTGCATGCTTGAACTCCTGTGAGGAAAACCAAGAAGAGACTGCAGTATGCAGTATGGTCATCCCCCCTCGGGAGTGATTTCTCACTTTCCCTCTGAGAGAAAGAGACATCTGTTTCTCTCCAGTGAGCACACATACCCTATGGCAAAAAAACTAAAAAAAAAAAAAAAAAAAAAAAAAAAAGTGCTGACACTTGAGCTGGCCTTGTGGCCTACTGGTTAAGGAAGTTAGATCCCACATAGCTGACCTTGTAATTCAAATCTCAGCCGCTGCGGCTTGGAAAACACAGCAGTCATGTGTGGACACATGTCCCAAATCCTGACAGGATGGAGACATGGAGAAGGATTACAGCATAACCACATCTCATTTCTTCCTCTCCCTGTCTCTTTGTCTCTCTGTTTCTCTCTGGTGAGTGCATGTGCCCTGTGGCAAATTAAAAAAAAAAAAAATTCTGATGCCTGATCTGGTCCCAGAGCCTATTGGTTAAGGGAGCCAGATCTCACACTGTTGACCTTGCAGTTCAAATCCCAGCCCTGGCACTTGGGAAAACACACCAGTCATGTGTGTATGCATGTACCAAATTCTGAGAGGGTGGAGAAATAGAGAAGGATTGCAACAACCATAACTCACACCAAGTGCTTGTGCATATGTGCCCAAAATGCTGAGAGAAGGGAGAAGAAGGGATTGTGGTGTGGCCATCTCCCCTGTCTCTCTGTCTCTGTCTCCAGCAAGTACATGCCCCTATATCAAAAAGCTCATTAAAAAAAAAGAAAAAGAACTCAGCCTATCATTAATTGTAGTGTGGTATTTAAAGTTTAAAGAGTCAAAAAGATACTGAAATAGTTAGAATAATGAAATATTCTGTTTGAAATTTGAAAAGTTGGTTGTGTTCCATAATTAATTTTCCCTGTGAGCTTAGGGCTATAAGTTAGAGTCTTCTCAAGAGAATTAAAAAATTACCAAATGATAATCTTAAAATTGTTCAAAAGGCAATCATGTAAAGTCTTCAGTTGGTTTTTACTATGTTGCCAATAGAAAAATAAAATTTAAATCTCCTCACAGCTATGTTTATCCACGCTGTCTTTGAAAAAAAATAAAAGCTTTAAAATACAAATATGTGAATTTAAACAAATAGGATACATTATTTTATGTACACAAATCTAAAAGTAAGAAAATGAGTATCTCTCAGGATCTAAGATTAAAATGACAATTATTAAAAACAAGTGCAAGAAGAATAAAGTTTTGACATTAAAGTACCTACCTTTAATGTGATAGTATAATGCCCAACGAATGTTGCATTTATCCATGATCTGGAGTGAGGATCACCCAGGAATTCTATGTGATACTGTTCAACATTTCCATCCAGGTCATAGATCACATATGTCCCTTTAAAAGGATCAGGGCAAAGTATCCCTGGCCAACTTTCAAAAGAAAACATTTTAAATTATTTTGATGTTTTAAAAAAGGCAGGCATCAATCCATCTATTACAATCATATATTACACTTCCTTCTTTGAATTTTAATGACCATTTTCATATAGCACAAACATATTCTTACCTATATCTTTAAAAGCAGAACACTCATTTAATACACATAATATCTTTGTAACTATATAAAGCTTTGAAATAGTCACAAACCCAAGATATATATAAAAGAGGAAAAAATTATAAAACAAAGTACCATTTCCAGGGTGAATAAGAGACAATTAAGGCACTGAAGGAAAGACAGGAGAAAAAGATTCATCAGGTTCTCGGCAGGGTTGAACTAACGCTAACCAGTTAGAATGACTAATACCCGAGATGTTAACCCACTCGTACGCTCTGATGGGGTGGCACAGAGCTGGCAGTTTCCCAGTCAGGGCTGCCAAAGGAGTACTGGTGGCTCAGTTGTGATCACAGCGAAGAATAAAACTACTGTGGGAAAAGCAGTTCTTAGAGCTGGGCACTTCTGTACTGCCCTCCACACCTCCTACCTGCTCCTTAGGCAACTGACCAAACTGTTTACAAGTACGGAAAATAAAATGCATCCTTTATTAAAAAAAAATCTTCAGCTCTGTGTTTTTTCATGGCATAGAACTCTAGAAATTCCTTGATATATATCGTTTTTCTCTTGGGATATTTAATACCCATGTGGGTCCCTTTCTAATATTCTGCTTTCTATTTTGGTTTTGCTTGGTTTTTCTTTACATATTTGCAGCAGAGAGTTCCTATTACTGAAGCAAATACTGAAACAATATTTCCATATGGACCCAAACAGGAAATTAGAGAATATATCTTGAAAAACTTCTGAAGTAAGAAAATTCACTCGTAGGAAATTATCCACTTTATTTGGTTTATTTAAATTCTATTTTAAAAGGACATTTGAAACAACCTAAAACCTTACTGTTGCGTAATCACATTAAACATTCCTGATTATGAATGCAAATAATAACAAAATTGGCACTGGTTTAAGAAAATTGAAATGTTCATTGACTCAGTATTTTAAAAATAATTTCTGAAATTTTTAAACAGTAAAACTTAGAAAAACTGACTCAATGCTACTATGAGAGACACAGGAAGAATATGGCAGATATGTTAAATGTTGTCTTGGGGAGATCTGAGGTCGGCTGGAACTAGAAGATAACTGAACTATTTCTGACTTGGTCAAGCTCATGATATCAGTGTTCCTGCCACTTCTCTGATGCTTTCATGATCACACTTACTCCCTCATCAACTTGATAAGGTAGGCATTTGTTCATTTTTTTACTTAACTAAGAAACCAAGTCTTAGGTATATTATGTAATTTTCCCGAGAAGACTATCAATAAGAGATGAAAACATAATTCAAAAGAGGTATTTCTAATGCCAAAGACCACAAAGGCTTGATCACAGTTGTGGCTCGGAAGCAGGACAAGAACCAAAGAAAGAGAAACCCTAGGGAGAGTATATTCACCTAAAGAAAAAGGACATCAGATTATTAATTAGGCCACACATGCATTATTCAGCCTCATAAATTACATTTTCTTGCTGGTTCAGAACCTATACAACCTTTGGGTGTTTCTTTGTGTATATGCATGTGTACTTATGTGTTAAGATTGGAGTTTACATTCAGGAGTGAGTGGGCCGCCCCATGTCATGGTGGTTAAGGTGACTGGTTCCTACATGGCTGATTACACAGTTCAAGTCCTGGACTTGGCAGCTTGAGGAGCACACTGGCCGCATGTGTATCCAAGATCCCAGAAAGAGGAGAGATGAAAGAGAAGAGACTATGGTGTGACCACTCCCCATAAGGGTGGAGTTGTACTCGCTCGCTCTCTAAGGTAAGCACATGTACTTTCTGGCAAATTTTAGAGAAAGAAGAAGAAAAGAAAAAGAAAAGGAGGAACTACATACCCTCTTACTGTCCTCTCCAGTTGTGTGATAAGATGAATTTTAGAAGATTTGCCTTGTACCAAAAGAATAAAGTTACTAAAATATAACAAAAGGTCTCTAATCAGACATTGGACCAATAAGGAATGAAACTGTAGCAACACCAAGAACAGAACTATGGTATGCTTTCAGCATAGGAACACTGAATGGCATATGGATGGTTTTAACTTTTTTTTTTTTTTCAGAGGGGTTTTTGCTATAGGGCGCATGCGCTCGCCAGACAGACAGAGAGAGGCAGAGAGACAGAAAGCGAGAAATCACCCCCCAGGGGGGATGGCCACGCCGCAATCCCTTCTCCATTTTCCTCTCAGGATCTTGGGCATGCATGCGCACGCACCCAGCGTGAGTTTAAGCCACCGGTCTGGGACTCCAACTGCGTTCGACTACGTGGGAGTCCAGCAACATAGCCATTACGCTAACTGCTGGTCGCAACATATGGATGATTTTGTCTCAATATATGTGTTTTCTCCCTTTCTCTTTAAAATAAAATATACTAACTATGGCCAGGTATTTCACATATCCTAGATTTTATGTACACATTGTCTAAATATTGCATATTAATGTCTCATAGAAATTAACTTTTTATTTTAAATGACAACTCTGAAATTTAAAAGGATCATTTTGTATTTTAATAGCAAAATTTAAATTACTGGGCTGAAATTCTGTGTTAGTTATTCATGGACTTTAATATTCTTTAATGTTCTAGCCATGACAAAAGTGCAGTATATACTAAGTTTTAAATATTTTACTAGTCATTCTAGACTCTAACCTATTGTTCAGAGAATAAGGTAGAAAGGGAAGCAGCAAATAAGGTAAAACACTATGAATATGGAACATACAGTAGAAATCTGGTAAAATTTTATAGATCAAGATCTAAAATATGCATATTTAGCATACCAAAATATTCAAAACTCTGTGTAGCAGTCAAGTTGTACTCCAGTTTGCAGCACCGTCAAGGAGAAAACATAATGCTGTTCAAATGAGACTGCCTGCAGGTCTGCCTTCTATTAGCAATAGGCCTCGAGCAGAGAGCTAGACCTGCTGAAACTCTCGTTCCTCACTGTACTGCTACAAAGTTCAAATGAAGGGGCTTGCAAGTGGCCTGGTGGTTAAGGGCGCTGGACTCCTATGTGGCAACTGCGGTTAGAGTCCCGGACCCAGACCAGGCAGCTTGCTTTCTCACTTCCTCTCTCTCTCTCTCTCTCTCACTCTGTCCCTTTCTGGTAAAATAAAAATAAATAAATAAATAAGTAAACAAATAAAGTTAAATAATTTTTTTTAAAGTTCAAATGAACAGATGCTTTATACATTTTTATATTTTGGCAAATTAACTGTAAAGTGCTATTATTATAACTTACATTGCATCCTCTCACAAATACTATATGTTGAAGTCTCAGAATATGACTGTAGAGAGGGTCTTTAAAATAGGTAGTTACACTGCAGTGAATTCTCTAGGGTGGACTCTAATCCCTTATGACCAGTCTTCTTGTAAGAAGAGATTAGGACACAGATATGCAGAGAGAGAAGACCATCTGAGGACATTGAAAGGTAGCTATCTATAAGCCAAAAAGAAAGACTCAGAAGAAATCACTCTTGCCAACGATTTGATCTTAGGACTCTAGCCTCCAGAAGTATTAAGAAAATTAATTTCTGTAGTTTAAGTCACCCAGTCTCTGGCATTTTGGATGGAAGCACTAGCAAACTAATATAACCATATAAATGTAAGATAATTGGTACAAATGAGAAGAATTATACAATATTTTTGCTTCATTTAGATCACTACTTAGATAAACCAGAAATTTAGATAAATTTAAAACCTAAAGGAAATATACAAATCATGGTGTAAAAACAAAAATCTAGAATCAGGCCAGCTACAGTAGTAGAGGCAGCAGAGAATGCTGCATGATATGTGGAAAGCCCTAGCTTTGGATCCTGGGTCAGTGTGATCGTATGGAGAATACCAGTGGCCATGCTCATGAGCCCAGCTAACTGGAAGACTATGGGAGTGGTATCGCAGCATGGCAAGACCATTCAAGGGTATCAACCTCTGTGCTTGTACATCAGTCTCTCATGAAGTAAGTATAAAAAAAATAAATCTAGGGGATGACAAGTGGCATGGTGGTTAGAGGCACTGGACTCTCACATGGTTGACCACACACAGTTCAAGTCCCGGACCAGGCAGTTTGCTTTCTCACTTTCCTTCTCTCTTTCTCTAGTCAAATTAAAATAATAGTAATAATAAATGAAGTTAAAGAAAATAAAAAAAACTGAAATCACAAAACAAAAAGTCCCTAAACTGCTATGATTTGAAGACTATATATTTTCTAAATATGTTGAAAATATAAATTATTTTATATAAAATTATATAAATTATCTACTAAATTATCAAATGATATTAAAGCTATAGAGTCATCAATACAGAAATTTATCTACTCAATCTATAACCAATGATTAAAGTTTATGCAGCTCATACATTTTTTTAAAGAATTATTTTATTTTAACTTTATTTATTTACTTACTTATTTTAATTTGACCAGAGTGGGACAGAGCGAAAGAGGGAGGAAGAAAGAGAAAGCAAGCCACCAGGTTTAAGACTCAAACTGTGGTCAGCCATGTGGGAGACAAGCAACCTCAACCACCATACCACCTGTTGGCCCCTACAGCTCCTAAATTAACAACACAATATAAACTTAAGAAAAAAGAAAAAAATAATGCTTAATAGTATTAAAATAAAAATTCGACTCCAGCAAGTTGGTAAGTCCCAACTATAGCTGCCAGGAGTTGATGACATGGATAGAACAGTTAATAGGTATGGTGGAATGTGGAAATAGCACAACTGGCCCCTGGAGTTGGGGGCAGTTGGGCACTCTGAGTTAAGAGAAGGGGAGGTGAACTATTGCTTGGTAGGTCTATATCATGAAAGAGGAAGGGCTAGGGGATTGTGAATTAACTCAGACTGCCTAGAATTTAAAGAAACCCAGTATCTTGGAAAAACTGGAAGTAATAAAGAAAAGTCAAGTGGAACTTCACGACCTTAAAGAAGGTTATCTGGTTATCATCAGGTTAACACTACATAACTCATTGCTGTTTGGCAACTTTTATTAGGGTGTGCTTAAGAAAAAACACAAGAGTAAACTTTAGAAGTTAAAAGAACTTTCGAAATCTACATTTCTAAAGGAACTCACTCAAGAGACTTCCAAGGGGAGATAAACTACTTAGAATGAATGACAGCACCAATGGAGTCCCCAACTTGTATAGGGGAACAGAGGGTCCTTTCAATCTGATGAACAGATATGTTACAATAAAAGCCACCGAGCTGTAATCGTTAGAACACCCTTTCAAACTCTGTAAAAAGGGAAGGGCATATATTTACTACTAGGTGATTTACATCGCATGCAATTTTTGAAAGGATTGTTGCCAAGCAATAACAAATTATAAATAGCACCTATTCCATTCAGCATAAAATAGTCTCAGGATTTCTAACACTAGTCTCAGCAGTTATTATGTATAAGATAAGCTTATACTGTGCTGATAAAAATTCTGAAACAACTGCTTTTTTACATCAAGTATCTATTGAGCCCAAGAGTATTCATTTTAAATTACTACTCTATAAAATATAAATAAAAATAGAGATGACTCTTAAAAAGAATTAGATGCCAATGATAGAAAAAGCTTCAGTTCATTATTTAAAACACGATAAATTATAGAAAATGTTGCATGCTGATTTGAAGATGAGTTTTGAAAAATACTGTCACATGTCCAAATAACTAGGACACTCTTGTATTTCTTAAAGCAGCAGAGAGGAATTGTCTGCCTCTTAGACAGTATATCTCCGCTAAAATGGAATATACCAAACTAAAAGAAAAGAGGAGCAGAGGCAATAGATACAGAAAACGTGATTACTCTGCCCTATCTGCTGCATCCACCCGTGTCTCTGGCTTGCTGTGATTGTAGAAAGTGCATGTCCATTTTACGGCTCACACTGACCTCAGCTTGAGCTCAGACAGAGTCAGCTCTGATAGTGCACTGTGCACTTCTACTCCCTTATTTTTTACTTTCATATGAATGATAAATTCTGAAGCATTGCTTGAGGACTTGAAAGTTAAAAAAGAAAAAAAAAAGACAGTAAGACTAGGCAACCTAATAGATATATTAGGATTACAGGGAAAATATATGATTAACTTTAGAATCTGTGTGTGGTAGAAAAGTAAAATGCAAACAGCACAAGATTAAAAGAACGGCAGATGTTGAAATCTAATGAAGGAAAGGGCAAATTTTGATAGTGAAGTGAAAATACATCACAAAGAAGTGAATGTTATGTATTTGTTATCCAGTGGAAATAATCTTTAGTAAGAAAATTTGGGCCCCCAATAGAGCTGACACTTAAGTACAGTTTTATTAGGTTCCTGCAAACATAATTATGGTTTTCTGTTGTTGAAATCTGCTATTTGATACTGTATACATTCTTTTATTATTATTATTTTTTATTTTTTTTTTTAGAGCTTTTTGCTATAGAGTACTCTCCAGAGAGACAAAGATACAGAAAACAGCCCCCAGAGGCCATGCCACAATCCTTCTCCAATGTCTTCTCAGGATTTTCAGTACACACACACACAGGCACCCAACATGAGTTCAGGCAGCTGGTTCCAGGACTTGAACCACAATCATCCATGTGAGAGTCCAACACCTTAAACACCACTTACTGGTCCCTGGATATATTTTTAACATAGCTATGTTATAGATCATTTTAATACACATTTATCACTTTTTGTTTTTTGCTAAACGACATTACTTGCTGGTTATTTTATATGTATTTTAGACTATGAAGATGATGTTAGCTAAAGAACTTCCAGTGCAGTAATGGTTCCAGAAGTGCTCCAAAAAAGACATGAAGATGAGGCATGCAGTGGCCAGCCACAGGAAGGTGACAAGGACCAACTGAGAGTGCTCTTTGAAGCTGATCCTCTTACAGCATGAAGGGTGGCCAAAGAACTAAATGTGGACCATTCTTCGGTAATTTGGCATTTGAAGAAAATTGGAAAGATGAAATAACTCTGTAAGTGGGAGCCTCATGAGCTGACCAAAAATTAAAAAACAAACAACTTGTTTTGAAGTATCATCTTCTCTTATTCTTCACAACAACAAACCATTTCTCGATTGGCCTGGTGATGTGCGACGAAAAGTGGATGATGACCAGCTGGTCATGACCAACTCAGTGGTTGGACTGAGAAGAAGGTCCAAAGCACTTTCCAAAGCCAAACTTACATCAGAAAAAGGTCATGGTCACTGTTTGGGGGGATCTGATCCATCTGATCCACTACAGCTTTCTGAATCCCTGCGAAGTCTTTATACCTGAGAAGAATGCTCAGCAAACTGATGAGATGCACCGAAAATGGCAACGCCTGCAGCTGGCATTGGTCAACACAAAGGGTCTGATTGTTCTTCACAACAGCACTGACCACACATCACACAACAAAAGCTTCAAAAGTAGAACGAATGGGGCTACAAAGTTTTGCCTCATCCATCACATTCACCTGCCTGACCTCTTGCCAACTACCAGTTCTTCAAGCATCTCACACTTTTGGCAGGGAAAGTGTTTCCTCAACCAGCAGGATGTAGAAGATGCTTTCTTAGAGTTCACTGAATCCCAAAGCACACATTTTTATGCTATAAGAATAAACAAATGTATTTCTCATTGGCAAAAAATGTGTTGATTGTAATGGTTCCTATTTTGATTAATAAAGATGTGGTTGAGCCTCATTAGAATAATTTAAAATTCACATTCTGAAACTGTAATTACTTTTGCACGAACCTAATAGTTGTCATGTATTTATACCCAGTTAGAACTACGCAGGGTTTTTTGTTGTTGTTGTTGTTTTTTGTTTCTTTTTTTGTTTAAGGTTTTTGCCATAAGGTGCATGCACTTGCCAGAGAGAGAGACAGTGAAAGGGAAAGTGAGAAATCACCCCCTCTGGGGTGTTAAGGAAGATGTATATGGTACTATCTTTGATTGGACTAACATGCAGTGTATACATGTTGGGAGTATTTATTGTGTATGCTGCAAAGATGACAGTGATGAAAAGTAAGTAAAACAAATAACATGGGAAAAAATGCACAGGAGACATACATAAGACACAACATGATATGCTATAAAGACGGACTATAATAGATTCAAATTAGAACTCAGTAAGATATATTAAAATCCTCCAATATGTGGTAATTTTTAAACACTCTTCTGAATAACCCACTTCAAAGAATAAATTTTTTTTAAATCTGTAAAAATTTCAAGTTAATCTTATCAAAATTTGTAAGATGTGCCTAAGCAGTACTGAGAAATTTCTAGCTTTAATTGCTTTAGTGATAGGAAAATGATTTGAATTTAGTTACCCAAGGTTCCAATTTAAGAAAACAGAAAAATAATAAATTAACCCCAAAGAGGCAGGAGAAATGAAGAGATCAGAAATAAATAAAAAAGCACACAATAAAAGAAAACTGATTCTTTGAAAAGATGCAGAAATTCACAAGCCTAGGAAGAGTACAACTCAACTGAGTTTACTATAAAATTACAAACACTTACCTTGGCCAGTTCTGCAGTTTTACCAAAACCAGGCTACCAAGAGGGAGCTGTGAATAGACAATCTTAAATCCACTCTGATAAAGTTGAGACTCTTCAGGAAAGTCTTCTTCAGAAATAGAGCACTTATTGTATCTTGAATCAGTGTTCATAAAGCAGTACCATGGTTCATTGTGATCAACTTTGGCTGCATCCTCACTTGACAATAATCTCCATTTCAAACAACTTTCATTTTCACATTGAACCCACATTTTGTTTACATATATGTTGTTTCCTACTGAAGAATCCATTGTACTTTCACAGGATTCAGTTATCTTATCATCCAGTTTTTCTTTATCCATAAATGCATTTAACCTGTAAAATTAAATTAAATTAAAGAAAAAACAAAAATAAAAGAATGAAGATTCACACCAATCAGGTGTGAATAACCACATGGTGGTTAAGGTGGTTAGATCTCACATGGCCAACTGCACAGTTTGACTTAGCAACTTGAAAAACACTCCAGACGTATGTGCCAAAATTCCTGAGAGAAGAACTGAGGAGAAAGGAGGAGAAAGGGATTGTAGCACGGCCAACCCTCCAGAAGGGGCACTTTCTCAGTCTCTGTCTCCATCTCTCACAGGTACTCCACTAAGTGCCTACACCATACTCAAATGAAAGAACACAAAGAATAAGGATTCTATGTCGTTGGACTCCCACGTAGTCGACCACAGTTCGCGTCCTGGACCCGGTGGCTTAAAACTCACGCCGGGCGCATGTGCATGTGTGTCCAAGATCCCGAGAGGAGAATGGAGGAAGCGATTGCAGTATGGCCATCCCCCCTGGGAGGGGATTTCTCGCTTTCTGTCTCTCTGTCTCTCTCTCTCTGTCTGGCGAGTGCACATGCCCTATAGCAAAAACCTCTATAAAAAAAAAAGAAAAAAGAATAAGGATTCAAGAGTACAAGAAAATTAAAACTAAAACAGAGACATACCTCTTTCTCTTTGTTTAGCCATCCCTCCTCTATCCTGTAATTATTATGTTTTTGCCTACCCAGAAACAAAGGAACAAAATAAAAGCATCAATCACTCAGGGCATAAAACATTCCAAATTAAAAATAAAAGCAAAAGAAAAATATAGATAGGTATAATTTTTATTAACCTACTACATAGCACACATCTGCTAGGGTTGTCAAAAAAGGCATGACACTTTTTTGCATAAAAAAATATGACTTATTAGGACCAGCAGTTAGCGTAATGGCTATGTCGCTGAACTCCCATGTAGTCGACCATGGTTCGAGTCCCATACCCAGTGGCTTTTACTCACGCCGGGCGCGTGTGTGTGTGCATGCCCAAGATCCTGAGAGGAGAATGGAGAAGGGATTGCAGCGTAGCCATCCCCCTGGTGGGGGGGGTGATTTCTTGCTTTCTGTCTCTCTGTCTCTCTTTATGTCTCTCTGGTGAGCGCACATGCCCTGTAGCAAAAATCTGTCTCAAAAAAATATATGACTTTTCAAAAAAAAACAATACATATCCAATTCTTTGTGTTCCCCCTATTAGCAGCTAAGCCTTAGTGATTATTGACAGTGCATCAGGTATTAGTCTAAGTGTTATTTGCAACAACCTCATTATGCCCATTTTACAGAGTGTATTCACTGCTTTGAATACACTCACAGTCACTGTTTGTCTTACATCATGAACAGCAAAATGACCCATAAGAAGATAGTTGGAAGTTCTCAACACACATGAGCTTGCCAGGAATCATATCAACGATGGCAGCATCTGCAGATTTCAAGAATTTAGGGCCATCATCCAGCTTATCAGAATGACATCAATCTTTTCCTTCAGCTCAACAAACTTGCAAGTAATATGTGCTGTGAGAGTTGAGTACAGGGGGCACAGAACACTGATTTGGCCTAAATGGTTCAGGATAATTACCCGGACAATGAAGCCAACTGCTTCCTTTGGTGGGTTATTGGCTGTCACCAGTAACATGGCCATGACGAACATCTTACAAACACATTTCTTAACTTTGAAACCCACATTGTCCCCAGGAAGAGCTTCACTGAGAGTTTCATAATGCATTTCAACAGATTTTAATCAATTGTAACATTGGCTGGAGCAAAGGTTATCACAATATTAGGTCTCAGAATACCAATCTTGACTCAACCCAAAGGGACAGTACCAACACCAACAGTTTTGTTGACATCCTTAAGGGTCAGACACAAAGGTCTGATGGTAGGATGGAACCCAGGGCTATAAGTAGCATGGTTCTACTGGCATTTGCATCTTTACAGGTGGCCTTCCATCCCTTGAACCAAAGTATGTTAGCACTTTGGTCTAGTAAGCTGTCATCATCCTGCCCAAAAATTCACACAAATGTGATATGTCAGGGTTGTGGCCAATTTCCTTAACGTAGGTGTTAACTTTCTTAATGATTTTCTTGCATCGCTTCTGGCTGGAGGGGGAGGTCAGTGAAATACATTTCATTAACACCAGTAACTAGTTGTTTCACACCCAGTAGGAAGGTAAAAGGTCATGTTTGCATATCTGCCCATTCTTAAGAGATACCAATGTCAAAGTCACCAACAGCAACAGCAACAACTAGGATTAAAACAATCAGCCTGAGAAGTACCTGTAATCATGTTTTTAGCAAAGTCTCTGTGCCCTGCAGCATCAGTGATCCTCACTTATTTGCTGGTCTCAACATTCCACAGGGAGATATTAATAGTGATACCATACTCACTCTCAGCTTTCAGTTTATCCAAGATCGAGAGTATTTAAAGCTCCTGTAAAGACCCTGTTGGGGTGCCTGTTTGCCTCACAAAAGAAATAAATTTCAAAAGAAAAACTCTAAATTTACTTTTTTTTTTCTCCAGGTTTTGACATAGGGTGCATAGATTCACTGGAGACAGACAGAGGGAAAGTGAGAAACTTGCCCCCGGTAGAAATGGTCATGCCACTGTCCTTTCTCCTCTACTCTCCTCTTAGGCTCTGGGCCCACACACCCACACATACACCTGACATGCTTTTCAAACTGCCAAGTCTAGGACTCAAACGACAGTTGGCCATGTAGGAATCCAGGGCCTTAACCACCACATCATCTGCAGCCCCCTAAATTTACTTCTTATGTACCTGATTTACCATTTATCTTGACATTTATTTGTTCATCTTTTTGTCACTAACCTAACAAAGGGTTTATATTTGATTTTAAGTTGTGTATGAACCCATGAATCAGGGCTCTGAATTTTATTCCTTTGTTTTATATGTACTTTCCTGAGCCAAGCATGATTGTCTTATGCTGTTTTACTATCTGACAGAACGATCCTCCCACATTGTTCTTCCTTCTTCAACAGTAGCTCATCTTTGTGAATAAAGTCATCTTTTATGTACTTCAGTGTGGTTTATGGTATTTTCTACTCAGGTTTTTGAAATTTTTAGTTGATTTTAGTGAGTCCTTTGAATACAGATGATCATATCACCTGCAAATATTGACAATACTTCTCTAATATTAAAAATGTATTTTATTTTCTTTACTTTTAAATTAGCCCTAGGAAACCACTAACTAGTAGTGATAAGAAAACATAAATGTTTCAGAACATTAGTCCAGGCAAAGATTTTTTAAATGAGGCCTCAAAATCATGGGCAATAACAACAAAAAGAGACAAATGAAATTGTAACAAACTAAAAAAGTTCTGTACACCAGAGAAAACAATCAACAGAGTAAAAAGACACCCTAAGGAATGGGAGAGAATAAATGCAAGTTAAACATCCACAAGGCATTAATAACCAGAATAAACAAAGAACTCAAGGGCTAGCCCCATTGTGCAAAAGTTTAGCGCTGTGCATAGGACGCAGGATCATACATGGTTAACTATGATTCACATCTTGACCCATGCCACTAGGCACATATGCACGTATGTCCAAATTCCTAATGGGATGAAGAAATGGAGGAAAAAGGATTATGGCATGGCCATGCCCCATTGGAGGATGCTTTTTCTTTCTCTCTAGCAAGTGTATGCACCTTCTGACAATAAAACAAACAAACAAACAAACAAAAAATAGTTCCTCCAACCAAAAAAAAAACTGTAATTAAAAAATGAGCAATCAATCTAAAAAGACAGTTCTTGAAAATACACATGGCCAAAAAAGTACATGAAAAAAAACAATGCTCAAAATCATTAATCATCAGGAGGGAACCAGCAGTTAGCATAATGGCTATGTCGCTGGACTCCCACATAGTCGACCGCAGTTCGCGTCCCGGACCCGGTGGCTTAAAACTCACGCCGCCGGGCACGCGTGCATGCGTGCCCAGGATCCCAAGAGGAGAATGGAGGAGAAGGGATTGCGGCGTGACCATCCCCCCTGGGGAGTGATTTCTCGCTTTCTGTCTCTCTGTCTCTCTGTCTGTCTCTGTCTGTCTGGTGAGCGCATGCGCCTACGGCAAAAAACCTCTCCAAAAAAAAAAAATCATTAATCATCAGGGAAATGCAAATGAAAACCACAATATTAAATCACCGCACTCCAGTTAGAATGGCTATTACCATAAAAAAATAATAACAACAAGTGCTGGTGAGGCTATAGAGAAAGGGAAACTCTTGAGCAATATTGATAGGAATATGAATTACTATAGTCATTATGAAAACCAGAATGGTCGTCCCGAAATAAACTAAAAACATAACTACTTTATGATCTAGGAAACCCACTCTTAGGTATTGACTCAAATGAAAAGAAATCAGTATGCCAAAGAGATATATGCATTCCCATGTGTAGTACAGCACTATTCATTCAATATCTATTATTGATAGATAATAGATAGGAATCGACCTAAGTGACCAATGACTGATAAATGGATAAAGAAAGTGGTATAGACACACAGTAGGATGTTTTTCAGCCATAAAAAGGATAAAGTCCATTTGTGGAAACATTAATTTGTAGGAAAGACTACTAAGTGAAATAAACTAAGCACTAAAAAACACTTCGCATATTCTTACTTCTAAGTGAAAGTTAAAAGATTTGATTGCAAAGACAGATACCAAAGATCCGAAGTCCAGGGGTCAACAGGCGGCATGGAGGTTAAGGTGGCAGAATCCAACATGGCTGACTACAGTCTGAGTTCCAGACCCAGAAGCTTGAAAAATATGCCCAGCATGTGTGTATGCATGGCCAAATCTTGAAAGGAGAACAAAGAAGAAGGAATTGAAGCACGGCCATCCTTCAGGGGAGAGTTTTCTCACTTTCTCTCTCTCTCTCACTCTCTCTGTCTCTCTCAGCAAGTGCATATGCCCTACAGCAAAACAAAACAAACAAAAAATACTAAGATCCTAAGTCTAAGGCAGGTATAGAGAGACAGTGTGGATAACTGAGCTAAGGAAA